ACAGTGAGGAAAATTTGCAACTTTTTCAAAATGCAATGCTATCTTTTCCCACTGTTCTTTTGTGGGAACAGGCATGCATTCTGAGAGCATGACTTCCCAGATAGCTTGACATACAGCTCTCACGAGTAGGCTTGCTGTGGAAATGCCAATTCTGAACGTGTAGTGCAGATCAGTCAGTGTACACCCACTTGCCAAGTACCTGCAATAGAAAAATGTCACAATTTAACATGTTTTGTATGTATACTTATATGCTATATGTGTTTACTTTTAAGCTTTCATGTTTACATATATGTATACATGTGTGTGTGTGTGTGTGTGTGTTGGAGAATAATTTTAGATAATAAAATAATTTTTGTTGAGACACTTGATATAAAAGTAATACACGCCCTATTATTTACAGGAAAAGATGTCATGAAAAGGTGGACGAACGTTCGAGACTGCTACGCCAAATTTAACAAGAAAACAAAAGAAGCAAAAAAATCAGGAGCAGGTGCTTGCAAGGTGAAATCTTATATCTACAGCAAGGAACTACAATTTCTATCAAAACTATATGAAGAACGAGACACTCAGGACAGCTTTGATGGTCCAGGAACATGTGAGGAAGAACATGATGGAGGCGCTTCTTCCGATCCATTACCTAGTCAAAAATCGTCTAGCGGAGCTAGCGACGTAGGGCGAAAACGGAGCCGCAAACTAGATCCATTTGAAGAGCAAATGCTAAAGATTATGGAGGATGATGCGAAAAATAGGCACATGTCATTTTTCAGAAGTGTTTTGCCATCACTGGAGAAGTTTGACGATGACGAAGTACTTAAATTTCAGATGGATGTTCTACAGAGCATATCTAAAATTAAGGAAGGAAAACTTAGGAAAACAACCACTCATAACGTCCACATGTTTTCTCCTTCCGGTGGTTCTCCGTATCCGACATTTTGGCAGCATCAATCCTACCCTCCCCATACTAGTCTGCCGCCTCCTGCCCCGCATCACCATTCTCAAACATCCCGGTTCCCCAATGCAGCTCAACCCGGCCACGTTTCAGGCGACTTCCAGGGCTATGAGCAGCAGATGTCTTGAAGCTACGCCGACAATGCAGTATCACCAACTCCAACACAGTTTTCAAACGATTCTATAGATTTTACAAGCTAAGAACACATCAGTTGCATTAACATGTGCTACATATATGTTACCCAATAAAGTAGATAACTCTAAAACTATTTCACTTACCTCAATGTTATAGCTAACATCTCTTCAGGCTTAATACAGTCTCTCATGTTTGTATCCTGGCGTTGCAGAACTTCTTTTAAACAACGATTCAGCTCATCAAATGATGAAATGCTCATCCTGAAGTAATTGAAAAATTTTGATTCGTCTTCTCTTAGTTCAGTAAATAAGGTGTGAAAGGAACTTAATTCGTCTCTTTTTTGATTAATGGGATGTACCCAACAGGAACGCTTCCTTTGTCGTCGCCGTCTCCGGCGATTCAAAACACACAACACAATAACGCGTGACCTCTCCATGTCAAGTGCAAGTGCAAACTGACACTGGGCACCGTGGGAAGGTGTCACGGCACGATTAAAACCGTCTCGTGTGAAAGGAGCATATCACGGACGATTTTTCCCGTCACGATTAAAATCGTCTCGTGTGAAAGAGGCCTAAGACCACTTATTGAAAGCCTAAATAGGATTTTTTTTGACATAAGGTCTCCCGGAGAACAGCTAAGTGTTGATGAATCAATGATTCGTTTCAAAGGGAGATGTAGTTTCAAACAATATAATCCCATGAAACCAATCAAAAGGGGTTATAAAATGTGGTGTCTTGCAGATAATGCAGGATACATTTTCAAGTTTGATATATATACTGGCAAAGGGGGAGACACTAAGCCAAATTTGAGGAAAGAATATGGCCCCTTTCAGACGTATCGACTTTACGCCGTCCGCCGTCCATGGCACGACGTCGTTCTCTCAAATAACCATGGATGTCTATGGACGCCTTCACACGTATCGGCCGACGCCGTGAACGACTTGGCGCCGTGGACGGCCGCCGTTGTCACAACGGCGCCCATTTGAAAACGGCACGGCGTTGCGCCGTCGACGGCGTGAAATGTACACAGGTCTCTATGGGCTTGTTCAAACGTGTCGACATTCCGCCGTCTGAAGTGGACGGCGTGAGTAGCGTGTCACACCACCTCAGTCGTTTCCTGACCACAGACGTGTTTATAGTATTGCTCACCATTGATAATGGAAGACGTTGATGTAGACGTTGGAGCAGATGGAGGGCGTGGGCATGAGAGAGAGAGTGTGACAGAGAGAAAGATAGATAGATAGATAGACAAATAGATAGATAGATAGAGAGAGAGAGAGGAAGAAACAGATATAGATAGAGAGAGAGAGAGGAAGAGACAGACAGATAGATAGAGAGAGACAGACAGACAGGCAGACAGACAGTAAAAAAAAAAAAAAAAATGTTCGCGATTTTAACCCAATGGTGCCGGGGAAAATGAACAAAAAATGAGGAAAATATTGTGCCCACTTTCTATGTTTTTCGTGAAATGTCTGCCGATAGATGGCTCTGCTAGCGCCTGATTTAAATGGCGGGAAAAACGTATTTTTCACTAGTGCTATGAAAATCGATGGTGTTATTTGTAACATCAAACATTATAATTTTTATAATTTTTTTAAACCTTAATAACAGCAAAATAAGATTACGTAAAATATTTCGTAAATCAGAGAAACGGCTAAACGGGCGAGACGGGCGGTGCTCGTAACTGGCTCATTGGTGATTTTGAACAAGTGTTGCCATCTATGCGTAAAAACAATCAAACAAGTACTCACTGTGGGCATAGCACGTACGTACACGTCATACCCGGCACCAAGGGGTTAACCATACGATGCGCCCAGTGTTAGCCTCCTGTTTTGATATAACATTTCCTCTGCGACTGATAAGAAAGAAAAAGATGTGTCTACATGTGTTTCTGTCTCTCATCCTGGAATTTTGATGGCAAAGTAGAGGACTCAACCTGTTGAGGAGCTCATCGAATGATTCTTTGCTCATTCTGAAGTAGTTGAAAAACTTTTTTGTATCCCTTCTGAGTTCCTCATACAGTGTGACAAAAGCTCCAACCACTAGTCTGGCAACATTGATATTATGGACCCACTTTCTGCCGTGTGAACGTTGTTTTTTTCTTTTTAAATATAAGTAATATAGGTAGAGCAGGTGGTCCTGTGTGTCCATGATGAAAGAATGGAGGCAACTGGCAGGTGGACGGCACAGGCCGTGCCGTTGTGTCAACGGCGCTCTCTCTGGAATGCACGGCGCTGGGTCCTAGACGGCGGACGGCGTAAAGTCGATACGTCTGAAAGGGGCCTGTGTCCATGATGAAAGAATGGAGGCAACTGGCAGGTGGATGGCACAGGCCGTGCCGTTGTGTCAACGGCGCCCGCCGTCGACACCACGGCGCTCTCTCTGGAATGCACGGCGCTGGGTCCTAGACGGCGGACGGCGTAAAGTCGATACGTCTGAAAGAGGCCTATGGTTTAGGTGGAGAAGTAGTTCTGAAATTGACCGACCATCTCAGAGGCAAAAATCACAGTCTTCTTTGACAACTTTTTTACATCTTTTGCTCTCCTAGAAGTATTGCAAAGTTTTCGGATTCAAGCATGTGGCACTATCAGACCAACAAGAAAAGATTTTCCTTGTCTAGCAGGTGACAAAGAACTAAAAAGAGGAGACTTTGATTACAGGTCCACACCAAATGGTATAATTGCCTACAAATGGAAGGATAATAAAGCAGTTCATTTAGCTTCCAACTATCATGGTATTTCCCCTACAACGGTCAAAAGAACAGAGAAAGATGGAAACAAGATAACAATTCCATGCCCACAAGTAGTAAAAGACTATAACGAGAACATGGGCGGAGTAGATAAGCACGATATGCAACTGTATGGCACAAACAGAAAGAGCATGAAATGGTGGCATAGAATTTTCTTTGGTCTTCTTGATATGAGTATTGTGAATGCATATGCTGTTTACAAAGAAACTCATCCATCTCTTTCAGTTTTCAACTTCCGTACAGAGCTTGCCAGAGGACTTCTGACTTATACAAAAGATGGTAAAGCTCGAGGAACGCAGGAGCGAAGGAAAACTGAGTACAGTATACCAACGTCAGTTAGATTTACCAATACTGGGGTACACTGGCCAAAATTCACTCAGAAAAAGGGAAGATGTGAGGTATGCTCCAAGAAAGGAATAGAGTCACGACCAATATCAATATGCAGTCATTATGGGATTCATCTATGTTGTAATGCTACAAAGAATTGTTTTTTTGAATTTCACAACTAAATTCTACTTTCATTGTAATGAGTTGCAATAGAAGAAATAGAAAATTTAGACTTTTAATTATTTGCTCATATATATTATGTACATTATTACAATTACAATTTATTATTTTCATGTAAAAGAATGAAATACGATATGTTCAATTTTATATGTAACAGGTGCCAATGATTATTATAAAGTGTGATAATGCCATGGAATAATGATGTTATATTCTAGTATTTCATAAAGAGTGCAAATCTAGTATTATTTTGTTAAAATTCTTTCTCAGAAGTTAACTATTATGTTTTCTTTAAAAAAAAAAATGGTTCTTTTTTGTGTCTAGAAGCCTGGCGGGACTCTGATTACCCACTACTGTATTTTTGTATTGAAAATACAATATGCAAAATTTGTAACATAAATTGTTTCATTGGGGTCCTAGGAACAATCAGTCCAAGTGTATATGATCGTTTGATTAAATCACTAAGAAATGGTAATACATTGCAGTATTTTA